CTGCATCATAGGAAACATGCTTTCTGTGAGTGCTGCTTTACTTTTAGTTTGGGAAGAGAGCTTTTGTTTCAGCATGGAGGATTCCAGGAAGTTAAGGCCTAATTTCTGAACACATCTAGTATTGTATTGCCAGAGACAAACAGCTTTTGTTTGCAGAAAATCGTTTATGCGTTAAAATGCGCAGTGTGTCTGCAGAGCAAACAAAAGTCATCGTTCTTTGGCGTGCTGAGTCACTGTGTGTCCGATTCCAGCTGTTCTCGATGGAGAGTCTGGCGCGGGAGGCCTCCATGGGTGTCCTGAAGGACCTGATGCACGGTCTGATCACGCTGATGTTGGACTCCAGAGTGGAGGACATCGAGGATGGACAGCAGCTCATTCGCTCCGTCAACCTGCTCGTGGTTCGAGTGCTAGAGAAGTCTGACCAGTCCAACATCCTGAGGTTAGCAGTGTGGCTCCGCTGGGCTGCAAGTCCTCTACAGGAAACTTTGTTTTGTGTACTGTTCTGTGTACATTTGGCTGACACTGCAGACTGACTGTAATCAATGGTTGTAGGTTAAAGGTTGTTTTCTTTCCAGTGCTTTGCTGGTGCTGCTGCAGGACAGTCTTATCAGTACTGCTGGCTCCCCCATGTTCTCTGAACTTGTCATGAAGGTACGACTGGTGCACTTTGTGGGTGTATATGCATGTTGACATTTGAACTACGTCATATTGCAAGCAGAACTCTTGACTCTTTTTGTTTTGTATTAATGAGCCTGTAGGACTTAAGCTACTTTCCACAATTCAATTAAATCGTGATGGATAAAATTATTAACTTTGCTGTTACGTATTACACACCCAGAAGTCATATTGTCAATTTAGCAGGAAATATTTTGGTGGGGCTTGTTTTTGGTGTTTCTGAATTTGAATCATCAAAAGAAATTGAATGCACTTAATTCCACCCACACACCCGGAAAGGTCATTTTAAAGGTAGAGAATATATTTTAACATGAACACGTTTTATTTTGAACCGCATGCACTGAGTCATGGGCAATAATGTGTTCACGTAATGTCAGTTATGTTAATTGCATTTTTTTCGGACTGGTAAACTCCATTAACGTTGTTGTTGAACTCATAATTGCAATTTGGAAACACTGAACTTTATGAATGCTCACAGTAGACTGCTGTGACGTAAAAAAACTAAACAAAATGGCAGTGGCCTGAATAGTTAAACAATTCATATACCATTTTATTAGCTGATTGTCTTGTTTTCAAACTTTTTGTGGAAGAATATCTCCATATTCTTCCCCTTTTAATGGCAGAGCTAATTATTTCTGTGTCCAAGTCAGTTTTATTGTAAACTCAAACTATTAAAAATCACTAAAAATAATTAAAATAAAATATTAATATTAGAGGGGGGGAAAAAAATTAATTAGTTGCCAACATTTTTAATTTGTTGAAGCTGAAGTACTAAAATTACAAAACTGAAAGCTAAAAAACTAGATGACAAGCACATAATTTCAAAC